ACAGGGCAGTCAGATGTAAAAACTGCTCCAGAAATTCTGCACCTCATCTCCTGAGTAGAGCTGAACACTTTTGTCTGAAAAAATTGGGATAAAGACTGCTTTATAATCCTTGTTAAATTTTATTATTTAATGATACACAACCATGATTTGAAGTCACTAGATTGCCATTTCATTTGTACTGCAATGGACCAAGAAGCAGTAGGTCTGCCAGGCTGAGCAACCGTGCATCATATTGACCCAAAATTTAACAGGACTGAGCAGGCATAATGAGTGCTTGGGTCAGAAGCTTGAAAACAGCCAGGGTGGGGAGTAGATGCCAGAAGGAAAGAGGGAAAGAGGCAGAAAGACAAATGAGGAAATACTTTCAAATATTTAATTATTCCAAAGCTTTTCATACACATATCTCAGAGCTGTAGTTTTAAGCCCACCTCATCTCCGCATGTATACTGGGGTTTGGACAACTGTTTTCCTCTGAAATTAATAACTCAAACTTTTGCACTTATACTTTCCGTCTCAGTATCAAAGAGTTTCCCAAGCTACCAAGTAGGTTGTTGAGTTCTACATAAAATAACACATTTTCAGTAATCAGCATTCAGTTACAATTTAACAGTGCCTTTCTTTGGGAGCAGGACCTCCCCCAAGGCTTATCTCAATCAGAGAGGAAACCTGGGGTTCCTCTGGTCACCAGGAGCCTAAAAGAATCTCTCATGTTCATTTATACTTCTTGTTTAAGTCTTTTTATGCCACTGGTAGGAAAACTTGCCTGAAACAAACATCAGATCCACCAGTGATATTTTAAATGTTGTAGGATCTGCATCTTGAAATGCCACTATCACTGAAATGAAGAAGAATGCTTCCTGTTTATTGCAGGGCTGAATACAGTATGTTTTACCAAAGAGGATACATCTTAAAATGCCACTCCTATTTATTGCAGGGCTGAACACAGTATGTTTTACCAAAGAGGATACATCTTTGAGTTAATAGGGGAAAAAAAGGAGACCTCTTGCTATGTGAAATAACTTTTAGACAAAAACGTGCTTGGACCTTTGTATTTCTTTATGACAACTTTCCAAGTCATCACTACAACAAACCATAACCCAAGTACATTTCTAGACCCATGTGTTTAGACCAGTTAGTCCACAGATAATCATTGCCTAGTACTCACACTGTCCTCTCCAAAAAAATGTTAATAAGCACCACCTTCTATAAAACCACCTTAGACCTGACATTTGGAAAAGTGCTGGGAATCCAGCAGTAACACAACGCTTTGCTCACCAAGGCCCCTGTTCTTTTTGTTCCTTCCCCTTGCAGGAAGTCTGAAAGGTTCGAGGCCACCTGGGACGAAGCAAATATGTTTCTGAAGATGCACTTACCTCACACTTACCTCCATCCAGGCCTGCCCCACATCCATCCCCATAGTGTCTCCGCAGAGGAATGAGAAGCAGCAGGTCTAGGGAATTGAGATGGTCTGTTTCCAAGAGAGGCAGGTTTGGCATCTCATACAAGCACAGCACACCTGACGGCAGGTATTGAGCTCACAACTGCATCCCTCAAAACCAGTCCAAGGCTCAGGCCACCAGCACTTCATCAGAGCATGGGACAGGCTGAGTTCACCCTGTCAGCATCTCCCCCACTGAGCCCACAGGATGACACCATCAGTTTTGCAGAATGGTATTGCAGAAATCACCACTAGCTCAGGAAGACTGATTCCTCCAAGAGAGATCTTAACACTTTTTATTTGTTTTGCTTAAAAAAAAAAGCCTCCACCACAGACCAGGGCTGGGAGGTGTAGAGGTGAAGCAGAGGTACCTCCAAATAATGATCAAATTCCTTCCCTCTGCATTTTCCCTGATGATATAAAGCATCCAATGATGAGCTCATACAGTTTGACAAAGAGTGAACCCCACCAACTTCAGAATAGCCCTAACTTGAACCACTGTTCCTAGGCTGAGAAAATTACCTTCTGTATTTGTCAGCTTCAAACAGAAATGTGTCAAAGCAGAGGTTAGCCACTGCTAACATGCAGGTAAGAAGAATAACCAGGTTTGGCTGTCTATAGCTGACAAAAAAAGAGGGCAGCTCCCTAAAAGAAAGGAAAAACAGTGCACCTGAAGGATGAGCTCTCTTTTGCAGACACTGGGCTACTAAGGAGTGGCAGGAGGGCAGCTCCCTAAAAGAAAGGAAAACCAGTGCACCCAAACGATGAGCTCTCCTTTGCAGACACTGGGCTACTAAGGAGTGGCAGAAACCATACAAAATGGGGGAAGTGGCATTCAGCCTTCTTACCTGTTCCTGTCATTGTACCTGGGGAGGAACCAGAGAATCAGTGTCAGGGGTTGGAAGGGACCTTTGGCGGTCACCTTGTCCAACCCCTCTGTCAAGCAGGGATGTCCTGGAGAGTGCATTTTGGATGAAGCAGGAGATGAAAGTGAGTAAAACTGACTTGGCCTCCTTCCTTCTCATACAATTGACACATAAAACTTTCAGAACATAGGCAGCAGAAAAGTTACAAAAACATAACCACCAATGAGTTGCCTTCACATTTGTTTACCACTCCACTCAAATCTAAAGACTAGATTTAATACACAGTAAGGCAGGCAGAACCAGTTTCAAGGTGAGATAAGCAGAGCAGTATCTAATGAACCAAGATTATACAGGGCTCCACTACATTGGTATGTACTTCAAATGACTCAAAAAGTGAATGAATGGAGATGGAGGAACCATACTTTTGCCTCTGTGCCAATACAATCCCTCCACCCAGTAATTCCTCCTCCGGGACTAGATATCAAGTTAGATCTTACCTTGGGCAAAGAAGGGGTGAAAAAAATAGGAAAGAGGCAAGATAGGCAATATGTGTGTGCCACAGGTGTGCTGTCAGAATCTCACAGATGAAGGACAGAGCTATTTTCTCACTTACCCTTATATTTGAAGCATCAGATAGTTAAATTTCCAACAGTTCCTGCTTCTCTGTATGGATCCTCACACATAAAGAGAAAGGTCAAGTGCACAGTACATAGACTTGAGTAATTGTGGTTTTCAGAACACAAAATTTGGAGACCTCCACTAAATTTGGTTATTAGGATCGAAAGTTGTTTTAAGCTAACGTAAATGGCAGCACATATGTGTGTATGTACTCACAGACACTTTCCAAGACCTGCATTAGTCCCTTTGCCTCCCTGTTCTCCCCATTCCCTGATTACTGAGTGGGTATCTCTCCCGCTGATGGCAGTCTGACTGACCACAATTGCTTGTGAGAAGGCTACAAAACTGTACAAAAAATGTCTCCTGAAATTAGACACTAAAATGTCATACATACCTGCAAGTCAGGCAAAGATGATTAGCCAAATTATAATAAGAGGCTTTTGAAAATAGCACATTAATGCTATTTTTCACGTCAGAAGACGGATTTTATTGCAATTCAGTAAATGAACTACACCTGTAAATCTGTTTTGTATATCCAATTCACATTTAACGTCCAATGGATTGAAATGTCACAGGAAAAATAAAAAAGGAAATCAGTACCTGGTTTTGTCATTATAATGTAAACTTCAATGCCCGCCCTTAAAAAGAACGAGCCAGTGATTTCCCCATGTAGTAAAATATATAGTTTATAAGGTATCGATGCTTTATCTTAGTTTAACAGCCAATCTCTAGATATAAAATAAAGAACTACAAATATGTGAAATACATGTACAATATCTTCAAGTATTTTGAAGTAGCCTATAGTATCTTGCACTACAGACAAAAATCATTTGACGATGTACAGAAAAAGGTAACTCTGAATAGTTTCACTGCAGAAATCTTAACATTTTCATGAACTCAAAACACATAAAAATATGGATCATCCAGCTAGTAGGTCCCATTTGAACAATTTGAAAAATACTCTTTATAATGGAAAAAAGTTGTAGAATAGTCTTCAGTTCATTAATATGTTTCCAGCTACAGAATGCCAGATGGTTACATTTATGGCAGATAAAGGCTCTGTTTTTTGTATAAACTTATCATCATCATATTTCATTACATTTAAACCAAGTCTTTTTTAATTTGCATTTTATTTTTATATAAAGTATCACTGTATCAACTCTGACAGCGTTAGTCAAACAAGCATAAATAATTAATAGGCGATAGCCTGTGGTTTTTTTCCTCGAATCAGGTATCAGCCTGTAAACATTTGGCCAATTTAGCACTATATATTTACTGCATTATGAACTACTTACTTATAATCATTACACTTCTCTCTACAGAATGTATGTGTGCTGTTAAAAAAAACCAAACATTATTTATTCCCATTAACTGTTATCAAATAAACCCTCCAAACAACAAAACAGCACAGCCACAATAACCTGCACCTACCAAATCTGCTCCCACATTTTAAAAGAGTAAGAAGGGGCGAAAAAAGTTTCAATTGCATTATTCTATAGTCCATTTCTGAACAAAAACTGCAATGGAAGTTTTAAGAAGGGAGATGGATTTTATGAAACTCTAGTTAGAGTGTAAAAGATGCAGACTGCACCATTTGTTCTTATACAGAGTCATCCAATCCAGAAAAATGGTATGGAAGGAGCAAAAACTGGATCCTAACTTTATCCTGTGGGACTGACACTAGCTACATCAATGAAAGAAGTAGGTTGGTTTGTGGTAAAACTGCAATGGAAGTTTTAAGAAGGGAGATGGATTTTATGAAACTCTAGTTAGAGTGTAAAAGATGCAGACTGCACCATTTGTTCTTATACAGAGTCATCCAATCCAGAAAAATGGTATGGAAGGAGCAAAAACTGGATCCTAACTTTATCCTGTGGGACTGACACTAGCTACATCAATGAAAGAAGTAGGTTGGTTTGTGGTAACACTGAAGAGTGGTGGTCTTTCCTGTGAAAATAAAGTAATGGAGGAGCTGGGAAGGTGACCTCTGCATCCTCCTTTTGCATCTGGACAGCAGGCACACAGGCTGCCATCACTGATAACAGCTTCATCCTCATGTCTGAGCCAAAGAGCCCACTCTTTGGGAACCAGCAAACCCCAGCCTGTGTCCATCCCAGGTATTGCTAATTGTCATAATGAGGCCAAAAAGATCCACACCAAAACAAGCGATTAAACCAATGGTATTGTGCCACACTAGGTGAACACGTGTTAAGGGGGAAAAAAAGAAGAAGAAGAAGAAGAGAGAGAAGAGAGAGAAGGAGAAGAAGAGAGAGAAGAAGAAGAAGAAGAAGAAGAGAGAGAAGAAGAAGAAGAGAGAGAAGAAGAAGAAAGAGAAGAAGAAGAAGAGAGAGAAGAAGAAGAAGAAGAAGAAGAAGAAGAAGAAGAGAGAGAAGAAGAAGAAGAAGAAGAAGAAGAAGAAGAAGAGAGAGAAGAAGAAGAAGAAGAAGAAGAGGAGAGAGAAGAAGAAGAAGAAGAAGAAGAAGAGAGAGAAGAAGAAGAAGAAGAAGAAGAGAGAGAAGAAGAAGAAGAAGAGAGAGAAGAAGAAGAAGAAGAAGAGAGAGAAGAAGAAGAAGAAGAAGAGAGAGAAGAAGAAGAAGAGAGAAGAGAAAAAACCCAACCTTATTTCAGGGTTAATTACCTCATGCAAGATAAAATTAATCCATACTTAATATGATGAGACATATAGTTTTAAAAGGATCAACTAACTTGTTAAGGTCAAAATAATTAATCCAACCCTCCTTTCTTATATAGATATATTCCCTGTGAAATACACAGGCCTAGAAAACTCATCTTAAATATAGCTGAAGGTACTGTATTTTTATTATTGTTTTTTTTGTTGTTATTTTTAATACACGAATAACCAATTTGGGGCAAGCGTATAAAGATTATCCCAATATATTAAGCTGAATACAAGAAATTCCTAGAATAAAGTACATCTGTTTTATTTTTGCCCTTCCAGAACTGGGGAAAAAAAAAGAAAAAGAAAAAGAAATAACAAAATAACAAAACCAAACCTGCATGCACAAAATACTTGTGTGAAATGCTCCAGGCTGTGAAAGAATTCTCACCCACCCAGCACGAGGAGTGGCTTGGACATTGCCCTTGTGTCTTCCTAATGCTTCTGTGAAATCAAAAAAGAATCTTGCTCTGATAAGTAGTGACAAAGGAACTTCTCAGTTTAATAATGAAATAAATATGACAGAAGTAAAAACAGTCAAAAATTTAATACATGTGCTATGCTTATAAATTATGGAAATAAAACTATCACAAGATGTGACTAAGCTGTAGGTAAAGAAAAGGTGCTACGACATAGTATGAACCAAAAAACTTGGACTCTGCTTTTCAAAAGAGAGGCAATACTGAGATAAGTTTATACAGTGGAGACCTCTTAAATACATAGCCCTGAATTTCTGGTACAGTAATTTGTGATGCTGATAAATCACCCTCTTCTTAAATCACATATTAATTTCAAAGAGATTTTTATCAGAGGATTCAAATGAACAGAGATTCCTTTAGGCATTTGCCAAGTTCCAGATCTCCAATAAATTAAGCTTTCAAAATGTTTGTGTTTTATCGTAGAAGTGGACTAAAGCTTTCTCTGCTAAAAAAAAAAAGCATCCCAAATGAAACAAACCGTGACAACAGGACAGAAGATATATTGATTCAAAAGGAAAAGAAAAAAACCTTACCACTCACTGCCTTTTCAGAAAAATTAAGAAATCCTTATATTTGTTAGTAGCAGGTATACCATGATTATTGTGAGGGCATAAACATCTTTATTTAGTCATCTGGCATTTGGGGAACTCACGTCCCTCCCTATTAGCAGTTAAAAGATTTACCAGCAGCAACCATATACCAAACTTCAAAAGGCTAGTTCAAGTGGAAACATTTTTGTGTTATGAACAATTATTCCAGGTTTTTCATTTAAGTGGGCTGCACTGTAAATTCTGAATTGCAACGTCATATAGCCAGTTGTATCATAGAAGATTTTTTAAGACAAACTTACAAAACACAACGATAGGTTAAATAAATAAAAAACATCAGTTAAAAAACACGCTTAATTTCTTCTGTGCAATTACGTACCAATATGAAAAATATTACTTTGATCTCTGCACATTTCACGGTTCAGTCTCCTGGATTTCACTAAAAATAATACTGACAACAAAAATAAAGGAAAGAATGATTTGTTGACAAATCAGTGCTTTGGAGCTATTAAAAAAAAAAAAGCACACATCAGATTTGTAGTTCCCTTGCAGCAGAACATGACCCGATACGTTAAAAATCAAACATCGGTAATAATGTTAATATATAAAATATTAGTTTAAAAACTATAGAATGACCTTCTCAGCAGAAATGGAGTGTATACATTGGGATCTATGACATACAGCATATCTGAAGGCAAGTTCACAGAATGCTGAAAGGCTCACTGCACATTTTCTATGGCAAGGAAATACTGCAGCTTTAAAATAAGCTGCACAATACTCATCTCTATCTCTTTCACATGAAAGTGTGTAAAAAGCAAATCAGCAAATAAACTCTAAAATAGATTTATACCAAAATCCTCTTTTTTACATTGAGTTTACAGCTTCTATCCATTCGCCTGTACTATTTTTGGAATTTCCTTCAAGAAAAGTCAAAGTTGCATTTTAGGGCCTCGAACAAGTTGACGATACAATGTACTGGCAGACAGAACTTTTGCATACTAACGAGAGTCACTCCTTGTTGCTTTTTTTTGTTTTTAAGATAGTTTTTCCTGTGGGACAAGAGGTCAAATATCGATTCCTTTGACAAGAGATGCCTCCAGCGTAATGTTGAACTCCTGCAAGGTCTGCAGCACTCGAATCAAAGAATTCACAAGAGTGTGATCCTTAATCAGTGCTATGTCTTCGTACATCTGTGCTGTGATGGGGCAGTCTGCGAGCAGAGCGATCCAGTGATGCAAAAGGTGGTCTCTGACAGAGCGGCAATTTGCGATTTGGAAATAAAAATAAAGCCAAGTTAATTTCTCATTTTCACTGCCATGATTTTTATTTCACTGAATTTCACTGAATTTTAGAGTTGGAAGGGACCATAGAGGTCCAACTCCCCTGCTGAAGCAGGATTGCCTAGAGCTAGAGCATGTTACTCAGGAGCATCCAGGCGGGTCTTGAAAATCTCCAAGGAAGGGGACTCCACACCCTCCCTGGGCAGCCTGTTCTAGTTCCCTGTCCCTCTTGAACTGGGGAGCCCAGAACTGGACACAGTACTCCAGTTGTGGCCTCACCAGTGCAGAGTAGAGGGGGAGAATGACTTCCCTTGACCTGCTGGCTACACTCTTCCCTATACAACCCAAGATACCATTGGCCTTCCTGGCCGCAAGAGCACACTGTTTACTCATTGTCATTTTACTGTCCACCAGGACCCCTAGATCTTTCTCTTCAGTAGTTGCCTCTAGCAGGTCCACCCCTAACCTGTACTGGTACCTGACATTTTTCTTCCCCAGGTGCAGGACGCTACACTTTTCCCTGTTGAACCTCATGAGGTTCTTCCTTGCCCAGCCCTCCAGCCTGTCCAAGTCTCGCTGGATGGCAGCACGGCCCTCCGGGGTCTCAGCCACCCCTCCCAGTTTGGTATCATCAGCAAACTTGCTGAGGATACACTCTGTCCCCTTCTTTGCCTTCTAAACAGACCTACTACCTTCTCCATGTATTTTTATAAGGCAGGGAAAGGGGAATAACTGTGGAACTTGCTTAAGCAGGGAGCATCCCCAAGAGATGTGTTTCTAGGCTTTCCACCCCTCACATCAAAAGATACGGTTCCTACCAGCCTGCTCCATTGCCTTTGTGTCCAGAGGCTTCTAGATGGTCCCAGCTTCCTTCCTACCCATCTCCTACAATGACTAGGTGGAGGGTGGGGAATTCACCCAGACATTAACCAGAGAGACCTCACTGATGGATGGTTTTTTGTTTCTATCTTCTGACCTTGCAGCTGTACGTGAGAGGGAGGCAATTCACACCAGCCTACTACCTTGCTCTCTTGAGTCAGCTGCTCAGCTCTTTGGGATATTCAGTTTTGTGTCTCAGATTTCCCACACTTCACATGCCTATGAACTCAGTTAGGGCAAGGTTCACTTGATCCTTCTTTAGTTACATCAAAGAACTGCAGAAGTAATAGTCAAACTGCACAACCCAGCAGTTGCGTGGCCTTGTTTTACTAATATGCGACACCTTTTTCATTTTATAGATTTTATCAATAAAAATATCGATAATAACAACAACAAAGATGTTTCTTTATACCTGGCTCCAAGACACACCAGCATCTGAAACTTGCCATCCTTCCCAATGTTTCTAGGGGTGTTGTTGATAGCAGTAATAAAGCGACAGAAATTCCTGGCCCTTGTCTGCCAGTTCTCTTCTGGGACCATTTCATTCTGCTCAAGGGTCTCATAGTATGTTTGTGCTTTTTCTTAAAAGAATGGTGGAGATAAAGTTTCATCAGTGCATACAGCAGTCCTAAAATATTTGAAATATCATTCTCCTATGCTTGGAATAAAATAATTAGGCACTACGACCTTCAAGTTTAGATGATTAAATTTAATACCACCTCAGTATAATGCTTTCCCCATAAGCTTATGCTTACAACTCCATAAAGCTATCTTGATGCCCATATCGGATCATAAGCAAATCAGCATGAGTGACTGACTCACGGAGGGGACAGTTAAAGTTGAAAGGCCTAGATTCAAAGCTCATCCATTAATTTCCTGAATAATTATGTCTAGGCATTGTTTTTTTCTGTTTGATTCCACATGTAAAACCGGGATTCCACTTCCTTCCCTCTGAACAGTGCTAAAGATGTTCTAGTGTCTACTGAATTTTGAGATGCTACAGTAAAATGATATAAGGAGATGCTGCCAAGAAGCATCCAAGAAGTATGCTGTTCACACCAGCTGAGACACAATGGCAACAAGGAACATGGATATATTTTGAAGACACAAGCAGGCTCTAGTATGTCTTCCTCCCACTTACCTAAAAAGTCCCAAATAAAAACATTTTTGAAGAGTCTCGGTGATTTAAATCCATGCTGAAACACTTGCTCAAGAGCTGAAACAAGTCCACTTTCTCCACACAGCAACAGTGTCAGACTGCCTCTCTGCCAAGCACAAACAGAAAGCATACACACTTACTATCTCAGTTAGGAAGTCTGGGGGCACTAAAGTGTTTCATGCGTCTATTACTGAAACAAATTTTAAAATAAATAGATCTCAGTTAGGAAGTCT